AAATACACAAAATTTAAACTCATCCTGTAGATTCTTCTTAAATAAAAGAATTATTAAATGCTGAAAATCCGAAATAGAGAACTTTTTACATGTGAGGAAACAAGTGTGTACAAAGATTATGATTGGCATTCCATAATGAATAGCATGTGAATAAATTCTCACAGGCCAAAATCTTATTAAAGGACACTGAAGAATATAAATCTTGCTTATTAAAAAGCAGACAATAGGACATGTGCAAGAGTTAATCAAGTATGTGGTTCAGTTACACATGCCCTGAATCAAGATTAGATGTTGAAATGTGTTACTATGATTTTAATATTATTATTCTAACTATTTTCATGCATTAAGGGGTTATAAATATAAGAATACAATCTCTTCCATCATAAGAGAAAACTTCTTGCTGCATTAAGACTACGGATCTGAATGCATTTTACATGGAACATGAATTGTCCTTTGTGCATTCCTGGCAACAGTAGGTTAAGTCTCTAGATAACAACTTCAGACTGGCTGCATACTTCATTATTTTTTCCCCTTTACAGTTGTTAAAACTTTATAGAGCCTCAAAACATATCCAGATGGACAGTTACTGTGACTGCCACTTATGAAACCAGTATAATCTAGTACAATACACAAAATAGGGTAAGTGCAGAAAGAAAACAAGTTCTGAATAGAGGACCTCCTCAGAATATTGGATCAGCCATCAGACACACCAATTCTGTTTAGACAGGCCTGTTATACACACCCAAATGTTCCACAAAACAAAGCAAACCCCCAACCTTTCACCACTTTCCTCCTAAACACTCTGCCCAAGGGTGGTCTTCACCCTGCTTGATCCAGTATTTGTGCCTACATCTTTATTCACAAAATGAAGCTCTCGTTTCCATAGCTTTTTGGCAAAGCTGAGATACATAAACCATTTTATTCCTCTCAGAGGAATATCATATCTTGGCAGCTTTATTTGAGTATGACCTTTTCAGATATGCAACAGCAAAATATGAACAAATAAATTACTGTACTGATGTGTTGCCATGCTTTTGCCAGTGGATTCTCCTTCACACCTCCTTCAGCCTGCGTGCATGAAACTAGGATTATCACAAACACTATGAGCAGAGAATTTGGTCAAGATGAAAACATTTGAAAATACAATCTTTGTTCACTTGCTGGATGATGGCTTCTAAGCACATGAAAGTAGCAAACTATAGTAGCTGTTATAGATTTTTTTTTTTTTGTGATGGGTGCAAAAAAACTTTCTACTGTTTGTATACCGTATACAAATATCTCAACAGGATGATTACATAATGGAGTCAAGAAATGAGAAAAAACAAACAAGTTTACGATCTTTACAGCAACTAAATCTATGGCTTCATTCCTCACTTCAGCTAGAACGGGTGCTTATTTCAGCAGTTTTGACGCCTATGTCTATTTACTTGTGTGCTGATGGAGACATATCTCAGTGCAGCAGGCATTCTCATTTACTTTTTTATTAGTTACATTCCACAAATTTCCAACCTAAGTGTTAGCAATTAAGGAAATTGTTTGGGAAATCAAAATTTTAATTCATGGAATTTCATCTCCTTTTCTGCCTTTTCATTTCAATTCCTTGTAGTCAAATTATGTGTTTCAACCTGGTGCTACAGTTCAGGTTGTATTCCGGTTGCTTCTGGAGAGACTTTTTAAATGCAATGTGTGAAAAAGACACTATCTCTTAACACATGGTATTAGAGCTGTGGTTTAGTTTGCTGTTTTGCAAGAAGAGATTGCTTGCCATATGCCTTAGCAGAACCTTCTTTTCTTCTAATCTTGTAAGGATATTGAAAGGTTGTTTTTTTTGTGTGTTTTGTTGTTGTTGTTGTTGTTGTATGTGTGTGTATGTCGTGATTGAATGAATTGATTCTGAAGTATTTAATTAGGCTATGACTACTGCCATGAGTTGCGAAGCTAAATACTGGGTTATTCAGCTGTACTTCCAATTAACTTAATGAAACACAAAGAAGTTAGGTAAAACCTAAATAATCTTGGAGGCTTTTAAGCAGCTGTATCTATACAACCCTGTCCTATCACACAAGGAATTTATCATTTCAGGTTTTTCTCAAATAAATTAATTAATTATAGATACGTATGGATATAGATATTAATTCCATAGTTATAAAAATATATACTGTGATATATATATATTAGTTCTGACATTTCTGCTTGTTTGTTTGTTTTTTCTATGTTGAAAACAAAGCTCTAATCTCTCATATTTCATCTTGCCTCCATTTCGTACGAGAAGTGACCACACAACTTGAGCAGTTAGTTGCATGTGAGTAACAAGAATCAGATCATAAACAAAAGCTCACTGGGGCTTCAGTTGGCTAAGTACAAGAGCAGAATATTAAACACGAGCCCTGCCTAGGTAAAAAAATTTCCTTTATCTTGCTCACGGCATACAACAAGGTTTCATGTCTCTTTCTGGTATGTCTGATGCCACAGACTCCGTAGGGATCTGATTTCATTCAGATGCCTGCTCCTTGAAGTACTAGAGGTCAGAGGAGCAGCTTATTTGCTGACATATTGCTGGGTTACACCTTTATCACGTGATTTTCTCTCACAGTAGTTCACAAAATAGAAAACTCAATCAAACAACTGGAAACAGAAGCTAGTGCAAGAATATTCATGCAGCCAACATTTGGATTTTGTGATTTCTCCATTTACCAGCAGAGTTTATTAAACATTGAATACAGCAGTCAAGTCGGTTAAGAACTAATTAGAGATTCTAGCATACATTAGAAAATGTGCTGTGTTGTTAATCAACGCTATCATTAACCAGTGCTGTTTTAAACATCAGGACATGCAAAAAGTGATAGAAGTGATTTAAAATGACTTTACTTACTTCGCACCTTGTGGCTGCATCTACTTTACACCTTTTAATTTTTCAGCCTTCTGCCTTTGAATTCGAGGAAGCCATAACAAAACAGAGGTTAATTGTTTTGATATATTTTCTTCAGAAATTCTCCAAACTTTCCATTTAGTGAATTATGTCTGAATGTGTAATACTTGGGAAGGGAGTGACTGAAGCCCTTCAAAGACATAGGTAAGAGAGACTTGGCTCCTCCCCCCGTATGCCTCCTCATTTTGCAACTCTTGATTTTGAGTAGAAAATAGGATGTGTTTTGTTTAGCTGGAGGGAATGCTTTTCTAAGTTCCATAGAGTCATTAGTGAACTTGGGCAGCTAGATTACATATAAACAGTATTTTTGCTCTAGATAAACCAGTTGAAAACTAGACAGTCTCTGCTGATCTCACAGAAATTGCTTAGATTTAATTCATAGTAATTGGAACTAGAGATATATATCTATATAATGAACTATGTGTAATATCAGTTAAAAATAATGTAAAAAGGCTTGGCTTGACAGAAAATGTAACTGAAGACTAGCAAAAATAGGGCATTTCAATATGCAAATGCTATTCTTTAACAAAGTTCTGCACCAAAAAAATGTGAATCCAAAGAAATAATTAGTGTATTTTTTCTAGATGAAAGAGCACGAGTTAAGGTTCATGAAAAGGTGGGTTAGTTTTGTCTCCATCAGCAGACTGTAAAAATACAAAAACTGAAAACAAAGGGGAGAGGGAGATATTTCCTGAACCATTTATCTGAAATCCTCCTATCTCCTCCCATCTTTTCTTTTTAGGCTCATTTGGACAAACATCACTCAGCCTTGTTACTTTAGACCTTCTTGCTGATGTTCTGTGGGTTTCCACTTTGTTTCTGCATAATCTGAAAAAATCGTATTTGCATCACAAGCTGACCAAAATGTTCTTTAATTACTTCCCAAGAGCTTTGCTTCGTTCTCTGAGTGGGTACCACTTTGTTGCTACAGTGAGGAGCTTGTCAACGCTCCCTTTAGAGATGTCTAACTTTACAGGATACTGTAACCCAGCCAACCTGTGGAACTACAACTCATTTTACAAGTTTTCAGGAAAGATGCCAGTTATTTAACATGTTTACACTGAAATTACTTGGCTTTTTTTTCTTTTTGCTTTTACTCAGATGTGAGTACAACAGTACAACCACAGCAGACCAAATATGTGCCAAGTCTTTTCTTGTCAAGGTGGCCCTTTACTCCTGGCTCTTTGCTGCCTTTCTTAGACAGTCTTTCAGACTTGAATGTCTGTCAGTTCTAACGTCTTCCTCAGGAATTCACTATCCAGCTGCTTTTTTGTGTGATATCTTCGTCTCACTTTTAATCCTTACTTGACCTTGAAGACTGTTCTCAAAATTGGGTCATCAAATATTTAACCACTCATTAGAAATATAGAGGCTTTCAAAATAAGATATTGAGGGACACCCTCTGCTTCAGCTGGGTACCACAAACCATCTATTTGTAGCCTCACATTTCATCTGTTACTATGAGTAGACACATAGTAATTGAGTATCAATTTATTTAGCTCTGAGATGGCTTCTGCTAGTGGATAGGGAGAACATTTTAGGTTCTTGTGAGCAGTGCTATGGCCACCAACCAGAGTACTCCCCTCCTTCACAGGAAAGGCAAGAAGTCTCTGCATACATGAAGCCTTCAGAAGTTTTCAGAGCAGTTGGATCAGGTTCAGATAAATTTCTGGCTTTCTCAGTTTTTACACATGAAAAATCTGTGACTGATTTGAAAATTGTCAGTAATGCCTTCTGTATTTGTTCTGCCCGTGGGGATTTTAAAAATTCGGATTGGAGCAGCTGAGGGTGAAAGAAAGTTCAGCCCTTATCAGTCACCCGTATTTGCTGAGGCAGTTTCATAAAAGCAGTGAAGTGAATGCAGAAACAAAAACTGGGGACTTCTTGATAATGTTGTAGGTCAAAAACAAGGTAAGAGAAAGAAAAAGGCAGGCATAGCTACTTCAGCTTGCATCGTATGTGATTCAAATAAAAGGAAACAGATTCGATATTAAGAGTGTGGGTGAGGTAGGCGTACACATTACATTAGAGATACAAGGTCAAACACAAAAATGTTTCTTCCAAATTGAAGTCCAGGGAATTGCTGATGAGATCGAGCCCACCTGGAGCAAGTGAGAACCTGATTGTGAGGGGCCTGATGATAATCCTTGGACAAGCACTCTTCTCCTCAAGCCTGGCGTGAACTCAGAAATCTGCTGCTGAGCTGGGACTGCTTTGCCTTGCCATTAAGCGAAACTGGAGCAGAGTTGAGCCCTGTATCGAAGCTCGCTTATCCCCACGGTGAACACGCGCATCTGTTTTAATATTCGAGTGTTTTCTTGTACACTTTGATATTTCCTTGCTGGTAACTTTTGGGTATTTGCACAGGGTGAATCATTTTACCTGCAAAACTGTAAAAAGGGAAGAGCTAACGAGGGTCTATGAGGTGTTATGGCAGAGGTGATGAGGTGTCTCTATTGGACCTCTGCAAAGTACTTTGCACACTGGGGATAAAATCTCTGTTTCACCAATTTCTTGGGGAAGATGGGAGACAGAGCTTTTCCCAGTGATTGCTCTGCTGCCTGCAGAGCATGTAGATTGCATGTCGGCAACCTGTGAGATGTGGCATGCCGGGTGCCCAGGAAGGGATCTGCTTCCCTGGCTGCAAACGACTAGTAATCCTTCAGCCACAGGTTTCAGCCATCTTTATGTTCTAGTAATGGTAGATCAGTCTTAATAAGGAAAAGCTCTGCACCAGTTTCAGTTTCCTTCTAAATGGTGTAATGACATCAACTGCTGTATGCAGATATTGAAACTTCTTACCGGTGGGAGGGCACTGGCAAATTCTTCATAGCCAATTTTTATACATGATGGATACAAAGATAATGCAACAGTTAATTTTCTGCTTTACTTACAGTGCTTTTCCTCAGCATCAGTTGCTACTAAATAAGTCCTCATCATTTTTCAAGGGTGTAACTTGCAACAGGCAGCAATAACAATTACATATTGTTTTCAAATAAGATGCCATTTTCCTTTCTGGCTGACAGCAACAGTTTTTTAATGTGTAACATTTGTTTAATAAAACTCACAGATGCTTCCTTAACAGTTGCAAAGGAAGAAGAGAAGAAAACAAAATTAAAGAAAAGGCAGAAAATATAAAGAGCAAACGAAAGATTTAGCTTCTGTCACAACTATTCACATTGTGTCCAAGAAACATTTGCATACTTTTGTTGGACCTGACATCTGCTGAGCATAGTTTGCATAGCAGGGATGCCCTATCTCTTGATTCCATGTTTTGCTGCAGCATTGTTTTGATTCTCTGCAAATGAAGGAATGCAAAGAGTATCCATGTTTTATCAGAAGGCCCAAACTTCATGAAGATCACAGCATTTTGGCTTTTGTGTTTCAGAAAGCAATTCAGCAGAGCAAGACAGATTTTCCTTTTGATCACTCAAGGCTGCCATATCTCCAGGATCTGCCTATCCTTTCTATTTAATTGAGCTCACTAATTTCTTCCCTTTCTTTGGAGTAAGAGGTAATGTGTTAAAATTTTTCACCAAATTTTTTTTTTTTTTTTTTTTGGTAAACTGAAAGAAATCTCATCCTGCTTTCAGGTTTTCTGATGTTCAAGCAAACAAACATAAAATGAAAATCCACTTTGATTCCAAAGCTCTATTAAACATAACCAGCAAATATCAGCTAGTAACTTCAAAAGGATGTGGGACCAAGAGAGTAGTTTTCTTCTGCTTCCCCAGCTGGCTGCAGAGCTCCCAGCTTGTGCAGCAATCTAAGCCTTTCCAATGTGTACTGTGAAACACTATAGGAAAGGAATGGAAGAGGTTTATGGTACAAAGAGGGCCAGCATGGTGAAATCAAACATTCACAGCGAATGGAGAAGCCCACATGAACAGAAGAAGAAAGTCAGTAGTCCTGGATGATTCTTACTCCATGTCTCTTTTTGAGTCCATCATGGTATCTAGTGTGGTGGTAAGACACAAATTGAGAAATGAGTCTGTCAGCAAAGCCTAATGGCTGATGTTCCGAAGGAAGAGCTGCTTGACTGTGAGTGCTGTGGTTGAAGTGGCTGGACAAAGTACAGGAGCCTCTATATCCTGTGTTAAGAAGAGAAATGAAGTTTTGTATGGGTGTCTGCAAATCAATCCTGCTTACCCTACAACAGGTGTTCTCCCCAGGCTTGGGAAGAAGCTTTCTAGGGAAGATGGCATCGTGCTTGTTGTTCCAGCACTCGCTCCATCAGGATGCAGCCCTCAGTTGTCCACTGCTCCTCACTGTACGTGGAGTTGAGTGTCTGAATGTCATATGAAACAGATTCAGTGAATTTTCACTCATCACAATCCTTGAATTTCAACGGACATCTGTACAGTATTTTCTATGGTCCAAGGAATACTGCAGTGAAAATACCGTTTCCCAAACTTGGGTGATCCGCTAAAGTTTGCAAGTCCAGTTCATGTCACAGTGTGACAAGGGACCATTATAATTTTTAATTAAAAACTGTGTCCTTTCATAATGTCTTCAGCTCTTTCAGATGGCTGTCAGAAAGCAACATGAGTCAGGCTCCATAGGGAATGGGGCATCACATCCTGACCTTGGTGCATAGACATTTTTATTTCAGACATCACACAAACAGCACTCTGGTGCGAAAAGCAGTGAGCAGACACTGCCTGGTAATGGATGGCAGGCTGGAGAGGGAGCAGTTCCCAATTCACAGAGCTGCCACGCTTTCCCAGACCAGTCTATTACTTGTGATAATATTGTGCTCAAAATCTCTACTGGAAAAGGAATTCCCCAGACAACTGCAGACCGGAAGATACTTTCTCATTACCCACCAGAAACTATGAGCAAACTCGCCCATATTCAAAATAAAGCCCAGAAATGCATATTGTTTGTATGCCATAGCAAGTCCATGTATTTTTCTTTTCATCCAAAACTAAAGTGATAAATGTTTTGCTTTTGTGTCTCATTTCCTGTCTGTACCTATTAGAGCTAGATGTTAGAAGTAACTGTAAAACAAGAGGAGACTGCATTTTTGTTTGTTTGTTTGTTTTTAAAGCAGGATTTTGAAAAAGAGATACCTAGTAATAATCATGTCCAAACTTGCAGAAATGTCAAAATCATGTCCTTGTAAGTCTGAAGAATTAAGGGACTGTTTTCTGGGGATCAGACAGAAAAATATCAGCCAAATTCACTGATGTCTCCTGATGGCTTAATGTTATTTTAAGCAGTAAAATTCCCATTAGTTTAAATGGAAATATGCACAGCTTTTAAATCAGGACAGCTATATGTTCCATGTACATTTCCATGTACTATGTACTTGCATCATTGCAAACGTCTGAGCAAAAATTCATGGCCGTGTTCTGTCCCTGCACTTCTACAGTCAGCCCATGCTGTTCCCCAGGCATGTCTTTCCTGAAGCTCTGCCTGAAGCATCTGTTATTCTTCGGACCTTGGGACTCCATCGCTCGCTTTCCTTAGGAGGTTGTGTGACAGTTTAGTACATATTGCTAAGATATTATTTTACTTCCAGCACTAACCCAAAATTTTATTTACATTAATTGAATTCTGTTCTTTTCAAATCATTTTCTTTTTTTTCTTCAATGGTGTTTCATGAAGGTGTTCTTTTTTTTTTATTCCAGATAAGGTCAAACTTTTATTTGCAACTAGAACGCAGTATCATTCCTTAGCTGGAGGGAGCCCATCTGAAACAGGTATAGGTAATTACAGGCTGCACCTAGGGGTCTGCTAAAACTTTCTGCTTGATTAACTGTGCCTGCTGGGCTGAGAATTGCTGTTAGGCATGAAAGCATCCAGTGCCATGCAGAGTGTATAACCAAGATGTTATAATCACAATATAATTGAGTATAATCAATAGATATCAAGATGTTATAATTGCAATATAATCAAGAGAGTAAGGTAAAGCAAACAAGGATCACAAGAGAGAATAAGTGGAAGAGCTTACCCTTGGGTTGAGCTCACCAGAAGATACCAGAAGAGGGGATCTCCAGAAGAGATCCTTCCCCTCTGGTAGCCAGCTCTTAAATAGGTCCAGGAGGGGTGGAGCCAGGCTCCACCCCTTCCGGCAGCACAGGTGAATTGCCTTCACCTGTGCTCCTCTGGCTGACTCATGGCTCGCCTCAGGTGATCAATCAGAGGTTCAGGCCGTGACTTAGCAGTTCCCATACACAGAGACATGGTCCCCCAGCAGCTTTCAGGGCTGCTGATCCTCTTGTACCTCAGCAGAGACTTGGTGAAATGTGACGATTCAAAGTTACTAGAAGAGGAAGGAATGGGTTGTGTTCTGGTTTCATATTGGCTGAAACCAAGAGCTCTTCTAACAAGCCCAAGAAATTAGGTGGGTCTGTGCAGCCAAAGTAACATGCAGCTCAGTCAGACCAGAATCTCAGAATCACAGAATTGTAGGTGTTGGAAGGGACCTCCAGAGATCATCGAGTCCAACCCCCCTAACTTTTTCTTTATATAAAAAACTAATTTCCAAGTGTCTTATGCCCATTTATCAACACTTGAAATCTGTACCAGGGAAACAAGGAGCAAGTCTCCCATTTAATACTAAGTCCAAAACGATTTTTTTTTAATAACAATGCCTCCCGTAATACTATATCCCTTGGATTTTCATTTGGAAGCACTTTGGAAAAAAAGTAAAGCAAAGGAAAACCAGCAGTTCTGGAAATCATGAAATAATCTGGAAGACAAACCTGCATTTACAAAAAAAAAAGAAAAAAAAAAAACAAAACCAACCAAAAACTAGAGGAATGAACAAGCTAAAGGGCCCATCAAATATCAGAAGGATCAGACAGCAGAAGAGAAGCACTATTTACTACAACTGCCCTCAAATAGAGAAGAAAAAAAAAATCAGTAGGCAACAAGGAAACAATCCAGAGGGAGAACAATGTTGTGCTCTACAGGCTAGTGCTATGTGGTAGCAGGTTTTTGAATGCAGGAACTGGAAAGAGACAGCAGTGTTAATTCAGAATCAGCAGATTCATGAGCCAAGGTCTTACCTGCAGTGGTACCTGAAAGCCTGGACAAACATTACCTTTAGAAGAACCTTCTGATCCTGAATTTCTGAACACACTAATGGCCGCTTCGTGCTCAGTTTCTTCATGGGCTCAGCA